AATGATCGGCCGATGAGCGCCGGGTTCACGGGTGTGCCTTGCATTAGACTGATGAGTTAGCGCAAAGTGAACTGACGACGGGAGTTTTCATGGAAATGGTGATAATATCTATTGTGTTATTCCCTTCCGCTTCCTAATACTATAAAAATGACTCACATTTGGGCTCAACTTCCGAGTCAAGTTGATGTATGCTCGATACACTCTAGTGTCGTCTATCTCCTCAGAGGTTTCTCCTTAATCCAGAACGCCAACAAAAGTGATACCGCAAGGTAAATAGATATCAAGGCAAGTGATGAAATCCCTGCGATTTGGTAACTCGACCGAACCTGATCTGCCAAATGAGGCGGTAGTTCTTGGATATAGTCAAGACTCTGACGAACTTTCTCTTCGATCTTACGCGCTTCTTCCCCCTCAGGGAGCCGAGCTGCCAACTGTATTCGAAGAACTTGCTGAAGTACAGCAGATCCAGTGCTGATGCCTATACTAGCCCCGAGAGATCGGAAGAGATACGAGCACGCCACAACGACAGCAGTGTCTTCAGCTGCAGCATTTGCGAGCAGACCAATAAGCGTTGTCACAAACGCTAAACACTATTAGCAAGGTAGATCCCACAGCATACCAACAATAGCTTTTATCATACCACAACCGGCTCCGAATGACATAATAGTAAGGCCAATAGTCTCTCCAGCGGTTGAACGGAGCCAAACGAACATGCCCATGGGGATGACTGAAACGAGGACGAGTGCGTAAGCCGATAATGTTATGGCGTAAAACTTTTCTGTTCTTTTGATCATCCAGCCACCTAGAAGTGAACCTGCGACACCTGCAACCATGCCTGGGACAAGCAAGGAACCACTCTGAGTAGCACCTAGGCCCTGAACAGCTTGAAAGACGAGAGGTAGAAAGAAGATAGTCGATGTCTGTCCCGCCCCTGAGAAGAAACCCACCCCATAGCAGGCGAATAAGCTACGATCAAATATTATGTGGCCAGGCGCAAATGGATGAGAAGCCACGTTAATTTCGATCAGAAGAAATAAGCCAAACAGAACTGGAGTCGAAGATAGAGCGACGGCCGTCATGATATGTGACCACCCGAGGTTGGAGCCAGAATCCAGACCAAGGAGGAGAGCAACTACAGCCGCCACGAGAGTAAAAGCACCGAGAAAGTCAACCTTGCGGACCTTGGCAAGCCAGTGATCGTGTTCGACAGGTGGAAGATCGAGGACGATATAGACGGCCATGAAAGCAAGGAAGCACAGCGGGACTTGACCAAGAAACGACCTAAAAGGAGCAATTAGATGTGTCTGATTCAGCATGCTCCACCAGACTCACCATCGCCAGCCCACTGAATCAGCCAAAATCCCTCCAAGGGGAGCTCCAGTAGCAGTCCCGGCGAAGAAGAGAATACTGATCTTGCCTTGCCACACACCACGATCCTTGAGCGGTACGAGATCACTCAGAAGGATGGCGACAACAGAGTTCATGCCTCCTCCTCCTATACCTGCCACGGCTCGTGCAGCACATAGTTGTGCCATATCCTGGGCAAGGCCACAACCCAGACAGCCTAGAGAAAAGACAATGTAGGCAAAGAGCAGGCATGGTTTGCGGCCAAATATGTCGCTCAGTTTACCGTAGAGAGGTTGAGAGCTTGTCAAGGTTAGGAAGTATCTGATGGAGTATTAGTCGTGCCTATATATCAGCCATGCTCTTTGACTCACGCGGTAGCAATCCAACTGGTATTGTTCAAGGCATTTAGTTCGTTACCAATCTTGGCATAAGCTGCAACTGTTAGAAGTTGATCGGCCGCAGCGAGGTAGACCTTGAAGAATTTGTGAGTAAAAGCCCGTGTCATGAGTAAAGACCCTAAGGATCCTCCTTACACCGATTCCGACAGCTGCGACTACGAGATGCAACTTCTTGTCACTGTATAGTGCTTTGGGAGTGTCGTCATCTGATGCCTGTTCGTTTTCAATGTTTCTTGGTGTATCGTCATGATAACGATCTCCAAGAAGGGGTGAACCTTCTGACGGGCTCTCTGAGCTCAAACCGCTGTTCATATCTCTTCCCTTGCTACAATCCGAGTAAATTGGGAGCTCAGAATACCGTAATACTACCGTCTGATATTCACTCCAGGTTGAGAAGTTGGGCGAGTCCAGAGTATTTAGCAGTCCTTCGACGTGGCAGTGCTGCAAATCAGATATTGGCCTTGCTTATGAGTTAGATCTTAAGTCACAGTCAGATTCAAGCAGTCATCTGACGGCATCATCGGAGAAACTGATGTCATCATAGGAAGGCGATTTATGATGATAAGTGAAGCTCCTCGAAAAGAAGGGGCATTTGTATCTCAAACGATGTTGGATCCTCCTCCTTCGTGTAACTAGTTAAATTTGTTCTTGTGAAGCACTCGGCGACTTTCAGTATTTTCCCTTCCATGCTGTATAAACCTCTTATTTAGTTCGTATTGCCACAAGATGAAACTTTTGGACTGAGGGCTAATGTCATCATTCTCACCTGCTCAACTCGCGAATGTTCAATGTCAGCGACTTATGCCAGTGTTACGCTAGGCCTGGGGAATAGTACAAAAAAAAAAATATAAAAATATTAAGCAGGAATTTCAGGATGAACGGCTGTTCACGACTGATAAACTCGATGACGGCCCTGCCACAAGACTGAGTGCATAAAGTGTGCTATGAACGAACAGGAAAAGGAACTCAAGCATTGAATCATTAGAAACAACGTCGAGGCCAATGGCCATTCAGAATGCAATGATGCAATCAATACCTTGTGTATACGGAGTACTACACATCGATTTCCCTCTTATTGCAAGCTTATGCATCCTCGTTCATCGACGTAATGTTTGTGCTGTTCGCATCATCTACGCTATGTGGCTACGTGGGTTTGTTCACATGGGATTGATCTGAAACATGGAACATTCGACCAATTTTGACAAGACAGGGGCTGGTTGCTGACTCTGCCAAGATTACTGGGTCAGAGACGAATGCGGGCCAAATCTCAGTGAGCACCACTAACTAATGCCAAACGCGTTACGGAGTACTCAGAATAGAGACAAGGTCTCGTCATGGCCGTCACCCCGCTGCTGGTTACATCGTGCTGACTGATTCGAAGAAAGAAAAAAAGAAAGAAAGAAAAAACTCTAGTAGTCCTTGGCGACTTTTCAACATTACAGGATCACAGATGGTGGATTGCCATTCTGCAGCTTCAAATTACCTGTGGAGATGCTTGGGCTCCGGAGGATCGATCGCCCCGAGTGTGTGTTTGGAGTACACAGACAGGGGAGAGACGTGACGCGTTGGGCGATCAGTTGCAAGGGTCGGTAAAGTACAGTACATACTCCGTACATCCACACACATACATACATACACCGGCAAGATCGGGCAGTTGAACTGTGGCGTTCTGCTGCTAATGTGAGAGTTTTTGTGACTCGTATAAATAAATGAAGGACATGTTAGAGTTCAAAAATGAGATACAAAAATATTGTGGCATCGTTCGGACGAGGGAGAGAAAGACAAAAGGCAAAAGACAATCTTTGAATGTCTGAGGTAACCTTGGGCATTGATTGACTGTACTCTTCCTGGACAGCAATAAGAAGAGGTGGATGGTGAGACGAGATGAAGGAAAAAAGCAACACCTTGTGCATTAGGTATTACTCAACGAAAGGGCCACGAGGAAGTGCTGCAAGTATCCGTATCAATCCATATTAGACATTTGTGAGACAGTGAATTGATGAGTGCCCTACATGTGTAACTCGTCACAGTTATAATAATAAGAAGTCATTAAACTCTAACAGAAACAAACATCGAACTAATCCATACCATTGAGTTCTCGCCGGTGAAATCACCTGATTAAGTTTTTCAATTTTCATCTGAATTCAATTGAATACCGTTGAATCTAGTTTAACATATGCAGGGGTGAGTAGATAGTGACGTGGATTCAGCTGCAGTGAACCTGAATTCCCCGCCCAGGAGTGACTGGAGATCAAATCTACTGGTTGTTTCAGCTGCCATGGTCTCCGTCCCCAGGTCCCCTGCTCCCGGACGCTATGCACCAGAACTCGACGAGCCACATGCAGCAATGGATGCCATGTTCCCCGAGAGGTTGAGTTGGGCTGAGCCTTGGGTGGCCAGAGACTGACTGCATAAGCCACACCAAGCCTCCCTCCGCCCATCCCGAGGCATGAGCCAAGTACTGTACATTGTGAGATTGCCCATGCAGTTCTGCTTGCTTTGCATGATGCTAACGCTCAAGTCCAAGCAAGTCCCAGCGGCTTGGTCAAGAGATTGCCCCGGTTGAAGACGGCGTTGGTGTGTTTTCGATGAAACCCTAGACAAGCTGTAGACTAAAGGTAGAGGGTCCAAGGAAAAGATGCTCGTAAACAGGGCAGGACGTACGTGAACCAAGAACCAGAAGGATCGACTCGAGGCCTCCTTGTTTTTCCTTTCTCCCACGATCTGGTCTTGTTTCCTTACACTGTTGATTTTTTCTTCTTCTTTTTCTGAATCTGTTTGGATGATTTTCTTCATCCATCATCTTCATCCACTTTGTTCTCCATTAACTATCTATCACTGCTTCATTTCCTTCTATCCATCCATCCACGCATTGATTGCACTTGTGTACCTACTCTCGTTCACAGCTCGTCCCACTTGATTCAATATCGACCTCAAGATCCATTCTTTGCCGGTTTCACTCGTTGTCGTTGACTTGTCTCTTCTGTCTCCCTTCCCCCCACTTGAATCGGTTTGAATCTACCTGTAAGCTCCCTCGAGGGGCGGCTTCCCCGTGATCCCCTTCCATATTATCAAAAGGATTCCAGGGCCCGGCATTTCATACGTTTTACCAGCCTTTGCATTGCATTGCTGTGTTGTCGCGTCCCTGGTTTCACCTGTTTTATCTTGCCTCAAGTTAAACGGCATCCCCCTTGCTCCTGCTCCTAGCCTGTCGTCCAAGGTTGACACGACTGCTTCAGTTTCGTCATGGCTACCATGTTGAACCCAAATTCTCTGCAACCGCCTAAAACTGGCTCATCTCGCTGGTCGAAAGCCCTTCCTGATGTCCCAGGTCCTGACGATCCAAGTTTTTATGACGATTATTATGAGGAACCTTCCCCTCGTCTACCTCCCGCCAAAGAGCTTCCACCACCTCCGCCGCGCTCGACTAGTATAGCCAACGCGAAGTCGTTGCCTCCATCACTGCCGCCGTTACATCTGCTTGCGGTTGATTCCCCTCCATCTGGTCCGCCCAAAATGGCTATTCCACGCCGGCCCATCGGGAAGCTGCCTGCAAACCCACCACCACTACCTCAGAAAGAGCCGCAGCAACCAAACTCATCACAGATTCCCCCATCACCTTCGGAATCACTATCGAGTATTCTGTCGGCATATTCACGCTCGTCCGGCGAATCCCTTGTCAGGTCGCCCTACGAAGCCGACGACAGTGTCCGTCAGAGTGAGGCAATCTCATCGCCGGGCCACCAAGCTCCACCCGCCAACATCAACACCGGCACATTTATCAGTCCCTCCGCCCAGCAACAACAGCATCATCATCAACAGCAACAACCGCAACAGTATGTTGCCCAGAAGTTGCCCGCCAACAACACTCGACCACCCCCATTACCCTCTAAGGACACCAAATATCACCTTCCAGCCACGCCTGCTCCTGTTCGAAAACCAGTCCCGGAGAACAAGCTGCCTGAACTGAACTCAGCGTCGTCGCCTTCTTCCCAGCAGCAGCCTCAACCTCAGCTTTGGCGTCGCCGGTCGTCAAAGGCCGAGCGGAGCCTAGAGCTTCCCGACCTGAAGCTTGTTGCTAGCCACGGGTCTACCGCTGCAACGCAGCCAGTTGTCGCACAACCACATGTTCAACAACAGCCTTCTTCAAGCGGACCTAAAGTCTCCTCAATACCAAATTGGCAGCCTGGGAGCACCAACCCCATAGCGCCTGCTGGTCAGGACTTCCAAACGTCGCCAGCCGCTGAGCAGGTGCCCGACACCCCGACCATGGGGATTAATAGTTCCAAACTGAACCGTCTCAAAGGAAAACTTCATCTTCATCGTAGGGGGAAATCATCGGGTGACACAAGCAAGTCTTCCTCAACGCCACGACCTGGGGCAAATCGCCCCCCCACGCCTGAATATCAAAAGGAAGACATCAAGACTCCCGTTGTTGATTCCTTTATTTCACCTTTGTCGCCCGCTTCATCACCAGAGCCCGCTGCGCAGGTTTCCCCAGAAATTCCAACTGACGTCACAAGTATATTTCCTCACGCACAAACCCGAGAATACCTAAAAAGTACTGGTAGCATCACACGTAAGGCTGTGCAGGTCCCTAAGCTACCGAGCCCTTCGGAGGATAAGCCGGTCTCTGCCTCGCCAGAGGCGGCATCGTTACCACCTTCAGTCACTGATTCAAGGGGAAGTCGTGGATCCTCTGGCAGTGACACTGTTGTTCACCAAGTCCAGCCTCCTACGGAAGTTTCAAATCGGTTCCCACCACGACATTCATCCGTAAAGTCGAATGCCCCTCCACGACAGTTGGCAGTTGAACACGATCCGAGACTGGTGCCGTCCGAGTCTCAGGGACCTCTTTACAGAGGTAGAGATGGTACCCTATATCCTGAGATGAAGGTACTGCAGGAACCCGACCCACGCGCGGCCTACTTCCCCAAACAGTCCGAGTCACCTATACCGGAAGGTACTATCTTCAAGGCGCCGGCGCTGAAAAAGTCCCATTTCAATTGCTACCATGGCCATAAGACAATGAACCGCCGGACTAACAAATATTATCCGTTGACTTGCCAAACGTGCGATAAGTCGGATGTTGAAGATAGATGGACTTGCAGTTTTTGTCATCTACGAATATGCGAGCACTGCGTGAAGAAGCTTAACAACAATGGCAATGACCTGCGCCGACTGGTCAGCCACCCACAACTCACATCATAATCGAACACCCACGAGCGTTGCCACGAAATTGTCTCTTAATGTTCTTTAATCATTTACCATTTTATCTCATCGCCACATGAACCGCCCTTATTTACGCCCTTTTCTTTGTTGCGTATAGATTCTCCTCGCAGGTTTGATCCGAGTCACGCATTGCATGTATTATATACGAAAAGGCCATGTGAGGGCAGACCAGGAGGGAAAAATAGACAGTACGGGATGATGTCGTTCATCACGACCTGAACAATACCGCATTTGCTAGCAGCAGCATGTTTACGAGCTCGGGGAATAGGGGGAAGATGAGGACATATTGTCCATTTTTTGTTGGTATGATCTGGTGATATCGAAAAGGAAAATGAACTCATGTTTGCTGCTTCGCCGAGGCACTCTGATACTACGGAATGTTAATGTGCTGACCTAGAAGGGGCAACTTGATTAGATTCTCATCAATGATAAACAGATACCTTGATACAAGAATTTGATTGCCGAAGATACAGGGGCGGACTCAATCCGACGAGTACTAAGACTGATATGAATGTGTAATGTTGATGATGCCATGGAAGAGGTTGTCAAAGCAGGACTCGTGAGCACGGATTCTACTATGTGGGCTGCCTTTTTATTACCCAGGTCTTTGATAGTCTCAAACTCGACTAACACAAGCTCTTATGCAAGAGCAGCATTCCTTGATATCAATGCCAAAGGTAGGTTCGTATTTAGATGGGTTTTTGTCTGATAATTCCAAGCGTGTGTTCAAGTTAACCTCCACTGTAAGGTACTTTAACTAACTAAGGTAGAGGCTCTCCTCACCGAGTCCGCTAGCCTCCACCGGGTCCTTGGTTCAGGGTTGCCGTCCACTCACCGTGTTCCGGCTAACGGAAGCTTCCTCAGGGCAGGTCCACTTTCTTACCGTACCGGTAGCCCAAGCGACCCTGGATTTCCCCAAGCTTCATCACAATAAACATTCACTTAATAGCTTCTATCAATCCCGAGCCCTTTTAATCCATCGTGCGACGGACTGTGACGGATATCACTATGTCCACGCTACAACGCTCACGGTCACTTCGAAAACCTGCTTCTTCCACCACAACCACTGCCACTGCTAATGCTAATGCGAACCCCCCAGACGGTTCACCGAGTCGCCTTCCTGTAAAGCCCTTGACTAGAAGTGCGACGACGTCTAGCAATGCGAGAACATTGAGAAATGGAACAACCACAGGACTCTCCAGGGCGACGTCTGTTAGACAGCCTGCTAAACCAGTAACAGCTGAGCCTGCGAAGAGGGAAACTCGATATCCCCCCTCAACCACGACTACAAGACCTCGACCAGCGGTGAGACCGACCTCGGCAGATGGCCCGACTCAAACAACTAGAAAGGCACCTGCCCCTACGCATACGCGCGCGAAGAGCACTGCCACTGGCTTGAGAAATGCGCCAGTCTTGAGACCTCCTTCTTCTGGTTCGTCAGCTAGCAGCACCACTACCACAACAACGACCACTCGTCCTACTCGGTCGTCGACTACTTCCACCAACGAGAAGCTCTCGGGCACCGCACCACGCCTTCGTCCGGCCTTCTCAACTCTCCAGCAACACTACTCACCAGCCAAGTCCTCTGCGCCCAAACCACTGACGTCAACATTCCTCGCTCCGCCATCGCCGTCCAAGCTTCCGGCCAATGTCGCTGCATCCGCCGAGACAAGTCGGTTACAAACCGAGCTTTTGCAACTTCATCTTTTGCATCGAGATGCACCGACCGTCGATGCTACCTGGAGGGCTAGTGCCCAGCGCAAACTTGGGGAGCGATTTTCAGAGCTTGCTAGCGCGAGCAAACAGGTTGATGACCAGGAGAAGGCAGAGGTTGAGAGGGAGAACATCCTGGCACTCCGTAAGTGGGCTGTTGGCGGTGGTCTGGAAGAGCGCATACAAATTCTAGATGCAGCCATAGCTGGTCTATGGGCGCTGGAGGAACCCGGTGGTCGTTATGCTAGGGTCGTCAGGCGATTTGAACGATGGGTTGATCGCATGTGCGAGATCGAAGAAGCGAGACGTGCAGGCGGGGCTCTCATCCAGGAGAACGACGTGCTGTTTATTGGCGAACTTGATTCTGCATGGAAGGACGAATGCGCTGGCTTGATACGACGATTGGATACCATAAAGCGACAGCTCGATCAATTAGGAGATTTTGCCGGTGATGACCAAGAGGGAGAACCCAAAGATCAATCAAGTCTGCATCGCATGGTAGAAGGGTCAAGAGAGCTTGTGCAGGGCATGCTGACTGAACTGGCTGTCATGGACGATATTGAGCGGGATGCGATTGCGCGTGAAGATCAGTGGATTGAGAGAATGAACCGAGACGATGAATTGGAAGATACCCCAAGAGCCGGAGCAGTTTGGAGAGCTGTGTAAGGCATTGTTCAAGTTTATAATGTTCCGTGCGCGGGTTTTGGACATCAGATGAACAACATATCACCTAGATCAGCGACATCACAGCAGATGATGCACTTTCTTCATGTTACATATAGACTCATTTTTTTAATCATATTTGGGACTGAGCTGCTCTAGCGATGCTATGCCAGTTGGCCTCGAAACGAGAACATGACCAGCAGAAGGGGCTCTCTATCTCTTCCTAGTGCGTTTTGGCATATATCGACCGGATATCAAGTTAAAACGGAAATTGGTAAATCAACCACAATTCTTTCAAACCCCTTCTTCTAACTCGAAACCATGGTATTGAAATTTGTTTGGATTTTTATAATTTCTTGTTTTCTTTTTTTCTCTTTTGGGTGTGATTTTCGTTGTCATAAAATCTGGGAAATTCCGTACCTCGAAACAAACGCCTCTAAATGATGCCCACGCAAAAACGAAGTATCATCGTCGGGATATAGCAGTCATAAATGGTACTTGGGGGTTCATCGATCAGGGCCGGGTGCGATATAGCATTGCCGTTTATGTCCTTGCCGATTCGGAGAATTGACACGTCTTATAGTGTTTTACGTCCTCCTAAGATCGTGAGGGACGTTAAAAGGAGTGATGAATTGGAAGCTGAACATCCAGCTCTCCTGCGATTTTCGCAAGATGCTAGGCTCCATCTGGTGCGACAGCACGTTGATGTGGTTTGCATGTTATGGCGAGTCAGGCTAAAGCTCAAATACTGGGTAGAGGTGCTTGTTATTAAAGCTAGCTTGGGTGATGGTATCATAGGAAAGCCCTTCGCGGAAAGCTGACGCCCTCGACAGCAGGCTCGTCGACGAACCAACTACAGCGTTCACCAGTACCCTCATTGACAAGAGTGCAAGGCAGACCACCGTCGGTATCGAAGATCTGCTTCATGATCTCCTTCTTGCCGCCGCCAGTAGCGACGAACGCGACACGAACGGAGTGGTTGACGACTGGCAGGGTGAGGGTAATGCGCTTGGGGGGAGGCTTGGGGGAGTCTTCAATGGGAGCAACCCAGGCGTCGACTTCACGGAGCAGTTCATGGCCAGGGAAAAGAGAGCAGGTATGTCCGTCGGGTCCGCAGCCGAGGAGGAGGAGGTCAAAGATAGGCAGACGGACCGAGTCGCGGCTGGCGAAGCTGGCAACCAGTGTCTTCTCGTACTGGTCGGCAAGTTCTTGCAGGTCGTTCAAGTGTTCTGTGTCGATGGGATGCACGGTGGGCTTCTGGTCCTCAGGGATCTTGTCTAGAAGTTCCTTCTTGAGAAGGGCATAGTTGGAGTCTTCGTGGTCGAGGGGCACAGCGCGCTCATCCGCAAAGAAAATTTCCCAGCGCTTGAAATCGACGACGTCGTTGGGGCCTGAAGAGGGGGCCAGGAGGGCTTGGGCGAGCGTCTTGGGGAGCGAACCACCAGATACACCCACTTTGAAAGCGCCGTGCCGGGCGATGCCGGCAGCTTGGCTCTGGATAACATACGAACGCAGCGCCGGGGCGAGGGCGTCAACATTGCGAAATGCGAAAAGGTTTGGTTGTGTTTTACCCATGGTGACGTTTGTGGTGCGGGTTTTGAAGCTTGCGGTGAGTCGTGACGATATGAGAGAGGTAGGTGGATGAAAAATGACGGAACAAGGAGAGAGACGAAGAAAGATTGAGGTGCGTGGTTTTACTGCAGCTCTGAATGATCCTTGACACGGGTGAGAGAGGATGTAAGTGTGTCAAAGGTACAAGGTAAGGTTGGTAGGTAGGCGAGGCAATCGGCTCAAATAATTTATCAGGACGTTGTTTGAACGTTGTGGGATTATTTGATAATGCTGTAGGCATCGTCTTAGGCAGTCTGGAGGCTACAACCTTAGGTACCTAGGTAAGAGGCGGGGGTTCCATGGAAGTCACGGTGGGCCTTTTTTTCTAGTTTCTGGTAGGTAGGTACGGTAGTATTGGGTACCTACTTCGTCATCGCATCCCGTCGCATGGAGTGGAGTGGATCAAACTCCCGTCGGTAAATGTCGACCCAGACATGGAGTAAGAGCATTCAAGACGGGGAAGGACCATTCTACAAGCAGGTAGAGAGGCAACTTACTTGCCTTGCTACCCACCGTGGGTGGGCGGACGGATGGGAGAGCCAGGCTTGGGAGGAGCGAAAACGGTCTCACAATAGCTACCTAGCTTCCTTGGACAGCACCTCGAAAGCTTCGATCTCAGTGGGAGCTCACTGTCAAGATCAGGTTCCAGTACAGAAGACGATATGATGAGCGCAGTGGCGTGCTAGACATCTGCACAGTACTGCACAGCAAGGTAGGTACCTACTGTGTTGTAGTTAGTTACCTACATAAGTAGGCTTTTCCGTTTCTGACACTGACATATCTGAATCGTGTATGGCTGGGTTCTGTTTCGAGATAATGCATGTCAACCATGAGGCACTTTAGCCGCGTGGTGTCCCGTTGAAAAATGGAAGCTTATCGGATTGCCGTTTGTTCCCAGGTAACTAGACTTGGCATGGGGATGAGCGAGGAAGGCTAATCTTCCCTATGTGATGATTGGACTTAAGCTTGGTGGTAGGTCTCGTCTAGGAATA